CAGGCAGGCCAAAGAACCATCAGAATTTATTTTCAGAGGGGAGGGGGAATGATAACGTTCCCACAGAAAGCTTGCTTTTAAGTATAGCCCACACTTTTGAAAACAAAACGTCCTAAGGCACATCAGATTATAGGCTACAGGAGACACTTCCTACTCAAATGGGCAAATTAGGTGTTTTTGTTTGTTGTTTTTTAAGAAACATTCGAGAAGAACATGTAGCTTGCAGTATACCAATATCTACAACAGTATTAAATCATTTAATTCATATGTACCAAGTCATCACACTGTTTGGGGAAAAAGAGAAGTCAGAATGAGCTGCATTTTTGAAAAGCCATGATTTTTGCGGCCTTATGGAACTTGACTGCTTTATGGAGTGTATGGTTTGGTATGTGGCCTGAGCAGCCCCCATGTGTTAATAGCAGATAGGCAAAGTTTCCACTCCCTTTCCAGCAAGCATTGTACTCCTTTTGAGCTCCCGATAAAAATGTAATCATCCATCTTTTATTCCCATTGTACAGGGGAGCAATAAAGGCGGCAGGTGTGTGTGTGTGATATTGGCCCTTACATTCGAGTCAGTATCCACACACACACAGATAACACCAAAGCCCTGCATATAGAAAGTTCAGAAAACCAGATGTTAACTTCTTACCATTATGAGTTTATTGTTGACCATCTGCAAGCAAGTTAACATACAGTTTCTGTGCAATGGAAACTTATTTTCCAAGCTATGACACTGCAGGAGCAATCATATTTTTATTGAATCAGGCTCATTTGACTCCAGTCAATATTTCCACTACACTTTGAAGCTTTCAGCAGATGATGTGTATTTTATGCATTGCTCCTAGCACACCTGAGTCCCATAGATTCTGGAATGTTGGTTATGTCAAACTAAGTCAGACTCAAGAGTAGACCCAATGGAATTAAGTCCATGGATTAAGTTCACCCTGTGATTTCGTTAGGATTTGGCCTCGATCTTACATGTAGTTCAATTAGGTCAGGAGCAACATTGTAGCCAATTTTTATCAAGGGGTTTTGCAGAACCAGAGCCTATGCCTAATGAGGCCGTTAGGAAAAGACACAGATTGATTACCGTAGCTCTTTAATAAATAAATAAGAATTCCAATTATTGGATTTTCTATATCTGATTCAAACTATTTGAAACGGTAAAATGGCTGTATATGCATTGAAGGATATGTACCCGAAGAACTAAAAACAAGCTCTTTTTGTAGTCATGGATCCCAAGAGAAGTTAAGGAACATCACAGAAAGAAAGTCTGATGCCTCTTATCTCCAGCAGATTTCCTGCATTCCAGAACAATGTGGAATGGGCTGTAAGATGCCACTGGAGCAAGGAGAATCACCCAGAATCTGGCTTGGATTCCAATAAACATGGAGTTTCCCATCCATTCCTTCCCCAAGCAACCCAAACCCCACCGTATATTGTTCGTGACAGCTCCCACCCTGCAAGAAAGGCTTTTTAGGGACCACAGAGCAAACTATCTTCTACAAACTTCCCTTCTTAGAATCCAGGCCAAATAGTTTTTCTTCTCCTTATGTATGTACACTGTTATGTTTTCTCCTGGAGCTGGAGGGAGAATTTAGAATGGAGGAATGGCACAGAGAGTAATATGTTTAAAATTATTTTTTTAAACCTTCCTGCAAAGCCACTGCCCCGATCCAATTTGGGGAGCCCTGTAGCTATAATTTACTCAAATCTGAAAAGTTAGGCTATCTGATCACGGCCCTCCTGCATCTTGCGTAGCTTGGCCCTCTGTAACATAGATCAGTTTGCTACACTAGAAAAGGAGAACAGTCCCGAAAGGTTGAAGCATCATTTAATGTTATTTAAACATGGCGTCAATGGAGGTAATCACAGATAAGCACGATAAGACATATGTAATGCAGACTTGGAAGAGTTTGTTTTTAAACACATTTTAAGAACAAGAATGAACAAAATAAGCAGTCCGTCCAATTGTGAGGGGACCCCCCGCTTACCCTTGAGTTTCCCTTATTACCCTTATTCCATTTTGGTCTCTTTTCCTGGTTACTGTGACCTACTTTTTTATGAAGAGGGGACACCAAAAAGCCTAATAAGGGGAGTTGAAAGGATTCAATATTTAAACCACATTGCAAGTGAAAGGATTCCCCCCTCTTGATTTCCCTCTGAAACTGTATGCACTGCTAGTTATGCTTTTATTACTTACAGTAATAAGTACAGTAACAAAACAACAGACTTATTGTATGCAGTGAAAATTAAAAAATTGGTGTTCTACATTCTGATGGGCCATGCAAGTCTATGGTCCCTGGGAGTGTTTTCCTGGGGCTATGGGATGCCTCAGACCTGGCTCTGAATATAAAAGTCAGACCAGGGGTAGGGGGGGCATGTTGAGATAGGACCTCCCACTGCAGAAATCTCCGTGGCCCTTGCCTCACCAACATTTGAGGTCCAATATCATCAGAGGCCTAAGGGAAGCATGCTGGGCGTGGGTCAGGAAAAAGCATAGCTTTGATAGATCTCACAAGTCCCCTTCTCAGTCCACTGAAACTAAAGGAAACGTATGTAAGCCCTGGAAGTCATGCCTGTGCATTCTCTCCCAGCAGGAACGACAGGAGAGGAATAGTTCCCATTAAAAATATATATCTGGAAAGGCAGAAACTGTTACTTCTGCCCTCCTGCAACAGTCCAGCAGGGCTTTGGATAACTCTGAATCTCTGCTGTCTGCCCCCACCATCACCACCCACTGAAAAGATGGTTCTCCCATCTGGGCAGGAGAGGGCTGAGTCAGTCTAAAGCTACTGCCAACATTGAAACAGGAAACTTATCCCAACCAGGTTAGGAAAAATGAGAGCCACTGAAAAAATTGTAAGCAGCAACTTCACCTAAGGCTGGAAGAAAAATACTTTAATGCCCTGGGTGCTAAACAATTGGGCAAGTACATGCCTGGGATTTCCACACTGGTATTTCTCATGTGCAAGATGCAGTGAATATAGAGGTTCTGCAGGAGCCCTGTGAGATCTGATGTGGATTCTGTTTGCAGGTCTTGCCTGTGTAGACTGTATTCAGACATAATGGGAAAGTGTAGGAACAGGCCCCCCAACCTTGAACTCATGTGCTTCCACCTGCCCCCTAGCTTCCACCTGCTTGATTCTAGCTTATTCTAAGCATGGAAGCCTTGATTCACATGTTCCCTCTCCCCTTTCATATGCCATGAAAAGCTTTAGCTTTTGAATTAACCACAGTTCCCGAAGCCTGGACTCACAGAGAACTGTGTTTAGTTTAAAAACTAAAGCAGATGTTGGCACATGAAAAGGGAGGACAGGGAAACATGTAAATCCAAAGTTCATTCATGTAGTAGAAAAACATTGTTCCTCATTATGCCTGAATTAGACTAGTTCAAACCTAAGATGATAATGGAATGAATAAGAAGCCTGCTTTAAAGGCGTGGCTGGTGGGGGGAGGAATCTTGACAATACAGAAAAGGAGACAATAACTTAAGGCTTTTGCGCTCATTTTGCAAATATCAGGTTCCTAAATAGCTCAATCTCCAGAATTCAGAACATTGCATTACTTAATTAGAAGAGGAATTTCTATAGGTAGATATTGGAGCAAATAATATTCCACATTTTAGATCCATCACATTGTAATCTATTGCAAGGGCAGGCCATTTTGTTAAAATTTAAAATATACCTTTGAATTGTCTTGAAAGGGATTTGGGTCACCACCAAAAACGTGTTGCATGTCGGCTAATGTTCATTTTGTTCAAAGCAATATGGAAGACCATAAGAAAGCATGGACAAAACATGCAGCCCAGGTAGTTACCACCACTGCTAGCCCGCATTTGTGATCATTTAAAAAAAACACATTTAAATCACTACATGAAAATTGACAGGGACAGATTTGGTATATTTTGAATCAGGACCAATTCCTATGGCCATGCATTTACCTGGAAGACTTTTCCATTGGCATCAATGGATGGATTTCCTGCTGCTTATGACTGATAGCTTGTTCTAATCCCACCTCACCTTATATTGATAGGCACTGAATTCCATCATGCAGAAAGATGGCCCTATCTAAGGTACATAAATGTGCGGTACCTGGCTATGTGAAAAAGACTATAATGCAATTAGTTGAGATTATCTTGTAGAAAACATCATCACATTGACTTAGACCATCAGATACATACATTTCACAGGTATTTGGTGCATCGTTTAAGGGGAGGATTACATCCTTTATAAATTGATAAAAAACCTGTCATGGGGTCTCTAGAAATAGAAAAGCAACCCAAGGCTATTCAAAATATCATCATTATTATTATTTTCTATAATTTGGCAAGCATGCACATTTACACCATGTAAAAGATCTGTAAGTCAGGGGTCTACAAATAAGATGCAGTTATGTAAGCAGCTCATTGTGTTAAGACATCCCTACACTGTGCATGAAGTAGGCATATCGTCTTAAGAAAAATATATAGGATTTACGTGCAGATTCTGCTAAATTTATCAAACTATGGATGTTTCTGGAATGCATGTTATAGTTTCTGAAGATGGCAAGACTGAAACGGGTGCATGGGAAGCCAAGTGTCATTAAGTAGCACACATTTTCTAACATCCACCTGTCAAACTCTGTCCTCATATAGACTTTTCCTGGTTTCTGTGTCGCCTTGGCACCAGAGGCCTCTGTTGCGGCTCCTCCCACTTCTGCATGGAGTCAATTCCTCGGCCCAGCTTCTGGTTTCACAGAAGTGTGGGGTAGTTGTCCCTTGGCAACAGGAAACTCCACTGACTCCGGGTGGGAACCTTCCACCTAATGCACATCAACCAGTTCCCTCAGGTCCTCCTCCCACCACCTCCTCCTCCTCCAATGACAACGGATGACTTTTAGCAGCATGTAGAGCTGTGGAATTCAGTCCGTGTGCTCTGGAATAGAGAGATTTTGAGCTAATATAGCCTTGACCCGCTCCCAGTATCCAACTGCTGTTTTCAAAGCCTTTGCAAAATATACTATACAAAACAGCAATACTTTTTCCACCAGGATTTGGAGAGGTTTTTCATTTTGTCTGGAGTCCGGCTTTTCGATTTCTTTGGCTGCTGCTGAGTATCCGAGTACTGAATGCCAGCAACAATGGCTGCATCAAAGACTTCTTTGAGGTTTTTCTGAGTCAAAGCGGAGCACTCGATGTAAGAGGCGGCTTTTATTTCCTCGGCACAGAGCCTCGCGGCCTCCTCCGCCACGGGCTTCTCTTTGCATTTGTCCAGCTCAATGAGGACCTTGACGTCCTCCCGGAGGTCCGATTGTGTCCCAACGAGGATAATGGGTGCTTTGGGGCAGTGGCATCGGATTTCAGGAACCCACTTCTCGTTCACGTTCTGGAAAGAGGAAGGGCTCACCACGCTGAAGCACAGCAGGAAGATGTCTGTGTTGGTGTAGCACAGGGGCCGGAGCTTGTCAAATTCATCCTGGGGGAAAATGGGGAAAAGAAGCGTGAATGTTGAGAGACCGTTTGCTCAGCCACAAAAAGCCTTTCAAAGTTCCATGGTTCAAGGTGAGGGAGAGTTTTGCTCCAACTCCCCAACTGCTTAAGAAATCACCCCACATACCTAGGAATTCCTGCACAAACCCTACATCCTCTCTGTTGCCTCTTCCCCTTCTTTGCAACTTCTAAATAGGGCTGCAGCTGAATTTACAGATCAGAGCTTTCAGGGAAATGCTGGGATATAGCTCTCCTGGGACTGCACCCACTGTATGATACTGCAAGGGATTGCATGTTTGAATGCTACCCCATTTTTAAAAATCCTCATAAACCCAGCAAATCAGGGCAAAGACTAGGCTAGCCTCCACATTCCCCTGACAAGCAAAGGAGTTTTTGACATGGGACATGTCCTTTTTATGATCCACCTCCTGCATTAGGAAGTGGCAGGGTCCTATAAGGCTGTCCCAGATGATTCTGCTGAATGCATAGCCATACAGGAGTGATGATGCAATAAAGGCAGGCCACGCATCCGGCAAAAACTGACAAGCAAATGGGAAACTGAATTGAACCAAAGGAAAGGCTTTGCTAAAAAGACAGCTTTTACCCCTTTCCTAGTGGAATTCCTCAGAGATTACTATTGGGTTTTGTTTCATATAACTATTTTCATTAGTGACCCTGGAAGGGAAGTGGGAGCACGTAGATGAAACTTGCAGATGGCACTAACTTAGGAGGCACTGTAAATACCAGATGGATTGATGAGAACTCATGCAGGATGAATGGGATAGCCACCTGAACTGGTGCAACACAAAGGGAAATAAATGGAATTAACACAAACCTAAGCAAAAGGAAAGAAAATTGCCACCTGGAGATTTGGCAGCTGGAAAAGAGTCATGCAGAACCTGATCTCTGGATCTTGTCTAATCACAAGATGGCTATGAACTGCCAGTGTGAGCAGTTGTAAAAGGGAAAAGGCAGTTCTCAGATGCATGAGGCAATGCAGAGATCCAATCTGACATACTTGGCCACAAAGAGTTAGGTAAATTTAAACTAGAAGTGACTTTGCCCCAAAACATGAGACAGTGAGATTTTCTAGGGACCGAAGTGAATAACAGCAGCACTTCTTGAACTCTGAACCTCACCAGGTGTCAGTGGGCAGTTTTCGGGCTCCAGTGCATACCAAGAGACTGGGTTTTTGTACCTCTGCTTAAGCCCATTGATAAGATTCTCACCAATGGTTAATTAGGTTTAGCTCAGAGTAAACCAGCTACAAGGAACTACTACAGGAAAGAAATGGGGAATTTCTCCCGTAAGCAGAAACTAAAAGATCTTGACTTATTTACTTTAAGATGCTGCAGACGTCCCACAGAAAGTAGCACAGTGATCTGATTTCCAACCTAACTGTGTTGTACCAATTTTGCAACCACAGTCTTCAAATTGATATTAGAGTAACACTTAATTCGGAGAAGTGTAAAACACTCAGGAATATTCTGGGGAAGTAAGAGTTCAAAGTTCAAAAGACAGCTGCACAGGTATTTCTGGCTATTTGTCCTGGTCCTTTGGGCTCTGTGGTGTTAGGAAGGGCTTGCTGCCCCCTTCCCCCGAATATGGGAACAGTGTGGATGGGGTTTTTTTGTTTAGGACTCCCCTAGTCAATCAGGTTATCTATTAACACTAAATTTGTAAACAGGCTGCTTCCTGCTACGGGGCTTGGAACCTTGTCTGAGTAATCCCAGGCTTCCTTGCTCTGTGGGTACCTACTCTCAGCTTGGGCTGAGGCTGTGGTATGGATGGATCAGGCTGGCCTGTGCCAGAATGCTTTGCATAGTCTAGAAGAGCGCCTTTTGACCTCTTTCAGCATTATGCAATGCAGTCTACGTTTACATTCGCAGCTTGAAATACAGGGAGGTAATTCCCCCACCAACCTGCATTTTAAGCCCTATTCGCATGGTTTTGTTCACATCAGAAAGACGGCAGGGATGCCTCCACCCAACATGCACTATGTCTTTTTGTTTCCTTGCCCCCACAACTGCCTCCCCCTGTCCCCAGAACTCTTATTCATTAAGCTCTCTCTCCTGCACATGCACGATATGCACGATGGCTGCTAGGGCATGTTCACATTGGCACTTACTCTGCATCCAGTTTTCTAGTTGTATGGAAGCTGGTTTGAGGAAAAGAACACATCAAGCAGCAGTGTTTGTCAATTAACTTACAAGATCAATATGGTTTGTGTCTAATGGTCCTATGAATGCAGCTTCTAAAGCCAGCAGTAAGATAGCACTGCATGCAGAGTGAGTGGTAACGTGAACAGACCCTGAATATTGTTTGCTTGCTTCCTATTTCAATGTGTTTCTTATTTTGATTTGGTTTATCCGAATGGTATATTGACTGAGCAGGGGAAAGCAATGGATCTGGACAACTGAGGAATTCAGATGATCAAGACACAGTTGATGAGAGATTTCACACTAAATCCAGGCAAAGCTTGATACAGGAAGGTGCGAGGGATTTAGCACCACACTGTCATATAACGTGTTCCTCTGGAAGGATTCATGATTTAATATAGCCCTTCAGAGGCCTGCTGTTCTAGGTTCATATTTATTGTTGTCATCCAATTTTCATGATCTACACTTGACACACTTCTGGTGCCATGAATAAAGAACACCTTTACATTCACATTTCCCAATGTGCTGCCTCCCTCCCCACTCAACCTCCATGCTATGTGCCCTTTTGTAGCTCTTTCTATGCAGCAAAACTGATTTTGCCATGGGGTATGATTTTCTGATTTGTGGATCCTGTGTGATGATCAGAGTGTTCTGGTCCTTCGCAGTTTATAGTCTGTTGCAGGGAGAGCCTAACAAAGGAGCGACCTTCCAGATCCTGTTTCAGATCACGGCAGTATATGTCACTTCTGCACCACTAAAGATTCGACTAACTCTTACATGAAAATATAATCGTTGGGAGGAAAGTTGCCACATACCACTCATGAAAATCAGCTTAGTTATGCAGCTGTGTCTTTAAGTGTAGGGTTACAGGTAGGTAGCCATGTTGGTCTGCCGTAGTCGAAACAAAATAAAAAAAATCCTTCCAGTAGCACCTTAGAGACCAACTAAGTTTGTTATTGGTATGAGCTTTCGTGTGAAGTGTGCATGCACACAAAAATTCATACCAATAACAAACTTAATTAGTCTATAAGGTGCTACTGGAAGGAATTTTTTTATTTTGTTTAAGTGTAGGGTTTTGTGTATGTTTTTAAAAAAATTGCCAGTGGGACTGTTCTAGATCCTAGTGTGGGTTTGATTTTTTAAAAAATCCTTCATTCCCTGTCCTGATTCAGAACCCCATAAAAAGGACTCCTGATCTGGATTGAGGCCTCATGCCGAGAATGTTTGCAACACACACACACACGGGGAAAAACACCACTACACTTACTGGCTAACCAAATCTTTTATTAGGCCCAGAGGCTTCAAGAGCTGCAGCTGGGGGAAGCAAACCAACTCCTTGCCTGCACCCAACCTTTCCTTCTTGCTGACAGGACAAAAGCACAACATCACCGGCCTCCCAAACCAATACAATTCGCCTCAGTTGTGGTAGCATTTTAATTAAAATACAGCATGCTTCCAGGGGTTTTAAATTAAGAAGAGCGAAGAGCAAACACAGTCCGAGATGCACCTCCAGTGCCAATGTTTTGTTGCCAAACTGAAACATGCATCTTAACTTGCAAGGGGTCAGAGGTTCTTACTTAGAACATTTTTGAAGGAACACAGACGTGCAGTTCTTCAAAATACATCTAAAGAAATTACTACAAGCCCCCTTCCACTTGAATACACTTCTTTTCAGGAGTACTTGCAAAAGAAGACTGAGGTTTACAGGGCAAGAGTCAGGGACACTGGGTTCATGAGCTCATTTGTTTTCCAGATTTAAGCCCCTTAGGAAGCAAGGCTAGAGCCAAAGACTCCTGTCACTTAGCTTCGGAGGCAGAGTTTGAACTGAAGCATGCTGTACCGCACTGAAGCTGTGGGCCGCGGTTACAAATATTTGCACAATTAGAGCTTGTTTGCATGTCCTCATAGTAATTGTCGCATTGATGTCATTGTGTTGCTTAAAACTGGAATGCGTTCCCACAAGGAGTAGAATTGAGGAGCGGATTCAGAGATTGAGATGAATTAGGAGGGCGAAAGAAAGCCCTAGATTATCGAGGCTCTTTTTCCATCTCTTATCTACAGCTAACAGGCCACGGGAACAATGGATCTAGGACAAAGATGTCACGAGCAATCATGGCTCCAAAAGGCCCTCCACAACAAGATGGAGTAGACAGCCACTAGGTGCCCACAGCTCATATGCTGCCAACTGCTGGATTACCCAGTATCAGCCAGCAGGAAACAGGAAGTCCCCATATGCATTGTGTGTTAGAAGCAACCACTCTATGAAAATGCACTCAGAGAGCTTGTAAAGGGAAAACTCCCATGCGTCACAATGTGTAGTGCAGCATATTTTTGTCTTTTTGAGCCATCCATTGCAAATCAGGTAGTGGGCTGCTTGCAAATTCACATGTAAACATGTGCTTTTGTTTCACACGTGGGTGACTCATCACCACCCACCTTTGCACAACAGAAGAATACTCCTACCGCAAATCAAAGCAGGAAGTATTTCTCCTCCCACAGTAGCCGGTCCTTCCTATGTAGTCCTGTTACTCACATTACTCTGGCAACAAGGGAGCTGTTGCAGGGCTGCTCCTTCCCATGCCCTCAAGGTAACTGAGAAGCCACCTGGGACAAGGCCATGCTGCAGCCCTTCCCCACACAAAGCATCAAGCCTGGGGAAGCTGGGATACTCCCGGTGTGGGGAGGACCTGCCTTTGGGCTCCTGCTGCCTCCTCCCAGCCTTCTCATGTCACCCAGGGAAGCAGCCTGAGAAGAAGTGACAATGCAGAGCCCACACCACGCCACCCAAAAAGGGTCTTAGCTCTTTCTTCCTCCCCTTTCCTCCCTCTGCCCCAGGTTAGGCCACCCTTCCACTCAAGTAAGTAAGTAGTTTTACTGACCTGGCCAGCTGTGTCACAGAGCTGGAGCCTCACTGGCCGGCCATCAACGGATACAACAGCTGAAATGGAAGGGGAGGGAAGAGTCAGTGAAACTTTCATCCACTCATGAAGAATTACCGGTAGGTGTTTCCTCGTATTTATTTGAACCGGTTGTGATTTAAGGAGCTCAAAAGCCGCCTCAGTCCCAACTCTGAGGCCTACCCAAGCCCTTCAGGACTTTAAAAATTTGGTACACTCCCAATGGGCTAAGTAGCAAAATCACTGAATGATGCAAAAGAAAGAAGAGAGCTGTCCCCAAACACTCAGGCAGTTTTGTATCCCATTCCCTTCAACTTGCTTGAGGATTGATTTTCTTGTCACTTCTCGCCCCCCCCCCAAAGTCCTGGCACAAAGGAGGCCCCAACCCCTCGTTGCTTTAAAGCAGAAAAGACAATGCAAATATTGACACATCCCTTGCGAAGCTGCTGCTCTTTTTGCATCCCTTTCAGCTCTGACTAGAGGATTTATAATTCCACCCTCAGAAAAGAACTAGCTTGATAAAGAACCACGTGTAATCACAGGCCATTGTTACCATCGCTTCCCTGTTTAAGCACAATATGCTATTTTTTAATTGAGGGGGTGGGCTTTGCTTGGTTTAATCCCCTCCCCCAAAATGGTTGCAGATTTATTGCTTTTGTCACTTTCTTTTGCTACATCAATTTTCAATACTGCAGAAAAACTGTGCCCTTCAGGTATTTGCTTGCTGCAAAGCAAAACCGCTTACAGTTTAATGTGAGGCAGTAACGTGCTCCAGGAAGGAGTGGCTCTCTAAAGTCTCTAAACTGTACTGCTGTGGAAGCAGCTGAGCACACCTAACTCCCTTTGAACTCTATGGAACTTACTCCCAAGTATACCTGCTGCAGAGGGCTGGGTTGCTCAGGTCTAAGCTGGTGCAAAGGACAGGGAGAGCACCTTTGGTGACATGAGGTTGTAAGAGCCTGTTCTTCAAAATGAGAATGTTTCACCACAAAGGACAAAGGCCACAATACAGCGGCAAACAACGAAGAAGACCCCAGCATTTCCACAGCAGGTCAGCAGTGTGTTTTCTGTGTGAAGGGCATTTGAATATCTGGACAGTGTACATACACAAACCACATATGACTGAAACTCCCAACAGTAGGTGCGTGTTTATCACATGTTCCCAGACATGAAAATGCCCTTCAGATGTTGGAGAAGAGACACAGCCAGCACAGAAATGCACGGGGACACCTCTTTTCTGTAAAAATGTGAAGCAGCTCCCAGATTCGTATCTATCCCCGAAGGAGTTAAGCCAGGACTGATGACCCAGCAGCTTCCACTCAACACCCAGAAACCTTATTAAAAACTGGGAAGATTGACAGGGGCTATTTAATTACAACAATTCACACGGCAAACCGCAGAAAGCCATCTCTCCACGCTGTTCCCTGCCCCCCCCCCCCCGAAAATCAATGGAGATTTAAACTAATAGAAGGTGGGGGAGGGGACTGGACAAGGGCTTACGTTTCCCCCTTCTGAACCTAACTAAAGGGATAAGGATTATGAGACAGCCAAGAGGATTTGCAAGATGATAGGAAAGTGTGACGTTTTGGGAAAATAAAGAACAGAATTATCTGTGTGGGCACAGCACACTCAGCATAGCGCCTGAGCCCGGGGTAAATCAGACCCACAGGAGCCCTTGGCAATAAAAGTACTTTGCCCTGAAATATGAATATCTGCCATAGAAAGGCATGTTTATATATACACCCACCCACTACAGGTTGCCCCCATAAGAACTAGTTAGAACTCAAAGAATCCTGTTTTTAGTTGTTACCAAGTTCCTAACCCTCACAGCTGGAAACGGCATGGAAAATACTGTTGTAAATGGTGGAGGCTTCAAAACTCAGAAGCAAACAAGTACATTAAGGCGTATGCATGTGTCAGCCTCATTTAACACAGTGGAACTTAACTCCAAGTAAAAATCGCTTGTACAGAGTCAGACCATTGCTCCAGCCAGCTGCGGGTCTCCAGAATGTCAAATGTGGGCCTATCTGGGCCTTAAGAGATTGAATCAGGGACCCTCTGCGTGAAAAGTCAATGTTGCACCGCTGAGTTACAATCACCCTTGACCTCGGTTGTTTCGAAGTCCAGGTCAAGATTTGTAAGAGCCTTTCAACCTTGCAAAAAAAGAGGGGGCGTATTCCAGAGGAAGCACAGCACGCCTGCATTTTAAACGGCGCGTGTTATATACAACTAAATACGAATAATTCGGTTAATGGGGGGGCACTTCTTCAGTTCGGGCCCTCTGGAACGGGCATGCGAAAAAAAAAGAAAGAAGAGTTTCTTTTCCACGTATCTCTCGGAGCTGCTTTCTCTATTAGACGATCCTCCCGAGGAAAGAGGCTTAATCTAACCCGTTTGGTCCCCTGACCATAAGACTGATCCTTTCCCAATATATTCGGACGTGGAGGAGGGGGGATCCTCTTTCGGCCCCTCCTTTCTACCTGCATCCACCTGGAGCTCAAAGAGCAACGCAGCTCTTCCTCGCGAACTTCCCAAGGAGGGGAGCCGCCCCCTTTTTGAGTCTCAAGGCTAGAAATGGACGGCGATTGAAAGAGAAGCCAGAGTCCACGCGGCGCTCCGAGGGCGAAACGCGCCTGCCCAGCCGGATCGCAGGCTGGTGGGGGCGCCTCGCCGCGACCCTGCTGCCCCGAGGGGAAGTGCTTCCTCGGCAGCCTCCGAGGGGAGCCCTCTTCCGCCGCCCCCTTACCTGAGAAATTGTCGAAGGCGGTGGGGATGTACTCCGTGGGGTAGCCGTTGGTGGTGTAGCTCACCACCAGGCTGGTCTTGCCCACCGCGCCGTCTCCCACCAGCACGCACTTGATGCTGCGGCGAGGCTCGGCTCCGCCGCCGCCGCCAGTCCCGCCGCCGCCGCCCGCCCCGGCCCGGCAGCGGCTCCCCAGCGCGGCCCCCAGCGCCGCTGCCCGGCTGCTGCGGACCCTCCGCGGCGGCACCGGGGGCACGTCGCAGCCGCCCGGCAGCGGCTTGCTGATGTAGCCCGTCTCGCCCTCTTGCTGCGGCGGCATCCGCCTGGCTCCCGGGCGGGAGACCCCCTCCGAGGACAGCCGAGCCACCGGGGGACGAGGGGAAGCAAGCAAGGCGCGGCGGCGCGGCCGGCCGAGGGGAGCCGTCCTAGGCAGGAGCGCCCAGCCGGCGCAGCTCCGGGTCCCTGCACAGCGCTGCCGCCCGAGAGACGCGCCTCCCGGCTCCTCCGCCGCTCACTGCGCGCCGTCTCGGGGAGCTTGGCCGGGCGCTCCGCTTGCAGATGACATAATACACCAGGAGACCCGGGGAGCGAACGAGTGAGCGAGCCGAGCAGGGCGGAGGGCAGCTGGAGGGGAGGAGCCAGGCGCTGGAAAGGCGGCCGGCAGGCGGCGCTACAGGCAGCCCAGGCGGACGCGGGAGGCCAGCCGCCGCCGCCGCAACTTGTGGACGGCGTGGAATCTTGGCTGCGTTCGAGGGCGCTTCTCATTGGACGGCCGCTGTTCCTTTCGAACGCTGACGGCAATTCGGACGACGCCTATTGGCCGGGCATGTTTCGCATAGCTCCCCCTTGCCACGCTTCGCCCAAGGCTAGCGCGCTGGCCCGCCCCTCCTTTTCTTACCTGCGAGCGAAGCCCCTTCTCCTTCCTCGGCGGCTTCCTGACCTCTTTCCCGGGAGCCCCTTCCCCGATCTTCCGTTTCTCTAGAGCTCTGCTTCCCCACGTGGCCCCCCGCTTCCCAAAGGGCAGCCGCGTTGAAGAGCGACAAAGAGCCCGGTGGCTCCTTGAAGGCGGCCGCGTTGAGGGTGCCATTGGGTCACTGCGTGGTATTTGCAGAACGATACTCAAATGCTACGTTTAACACGCTGGGAAGCCCACCGAGTGGGGGGCGGGGACCTCATGGTCTACGGAGCTGAGATAGCCTAAAGGGGCGATAAAGAAAGGCTGCTGCCGGCCCAGGTGTCCTTTCTCCAACCCCGTACGCTCTCTCATTGTGCATAAGCAAAACGGGTTTCTTCCGTGCGAGCCATTCTCTTCCCTTCTTATCCTTTCCCCACCCCCACCTCTCCAGGCTGAGCTGTAAAACTGTCTAATCTTATCAAAGCTCAGCCTGTTTCACAGAGGGAAAGCAAGTTTCTTAGCCAATTTATCAGTATTAATGAGACAACTATGTGAAGCTATGTGCTTCGGTGCAGCTAAAAGCACTCTTAAAACTGCTCTAGTTTTTATTCCTTCGTGTAGTTTTGCCTCCCCAGTTCTGGTTTATGACTGAGGATGTTTCCAGGCAGGTGTCTAGTGTGGACTTGGCTCTCCTTGTTTGAAAATGGCTTTCCCTCCATTGCAGCATCCACACAACATCACTGACCCAGCCCAACCCTTCCCCACAATTTAATCCTGATATGCCTTTTCTAGGGGAAATATGATAAGTATAGAAGAAGAATAAAAGAGCTATTGCCAAAGACCTGTTTATGATATCTCAAAGACCCATTTGCAAACTAAGCCCCTATTTGGAAGAGTCTAAGAGTAGAAGAGGAATGATGCCACCTATAACAATCATTTTCCCCCCAGAATATGGGAAATATTTGTTCTGGGTGGCTTCAAAGCAGAAGAGGGAAAGCAGCGTTTACTTTGCGTGTGCTGTCTGAAAGCTCAGGAGAACACAGGCATTTCAGGACCAAATGCAAACAATGCATTTGATATTTAGCAGCCTCTCTCTGCTGACCCTATTATATCCCCAGCCTATGCAACAACTGGTTTTTGTGTGTTTTCAGACCTGCAAATGCCCTTCAGGCATTATAAAAAATGCACCCTCAGCAAAGCTGTGGAAATGGGTAGCTCTTTGCTGTAAAGTAACATGTAACATCACCTTTAGTAGTGAGAAACCCTGAGCTTTGAGGGACAAGATATTTGAGCAGCAGCTTGTCTGAGGTGGCTCAGCTCTACTTTAAACTAGCTCATACCTGTACGACAGAGATGGGGAATTGGTTGCCCTCCAAATGTTGTTGGACTACAGCTCCCATTATGCCTGACCTTTGGCCACGCTGGCTGGGGCTTATGGGAGTTGGAGTCCAACAATGTTGAGAGGGCCACAGGTTGTATTTGTTGTTTTACAATCCTTTCCTGATGTCGCTGCATTCTTGCCATCTGGAGGGGCCCTTGTGTGCAACAAAAGCAGGATAAAACAAGCCTAGAACAATTGTTATATAAAAAGTTAGGTTGCTTCCACATTTTCACTATTTTCTGTTGAGATTCAGTCATGTACCAGCAAATTCAGGTTGCACGATCATAGGCAGCATGCCCGCTATACCTTTTAGAGACATTTGAAGCACGTTTTCTTCCCCCTTAAAGAATTCTGGGCACTGTGGTTTGTTAAGGGTTGCTGGGAATTATAATTCAGTGAGTGGCAAAATGCAGTACCCATAATTCTTTGAGGGGGAAAACGAGTTTCGAATGGGCTGTAAAGGTATATTGTGTACACAGCCATTGTAAACCCATCCCCCCCCCAATACTGGACATTCTGCAATAAGGAAAGTGCTCACACTGCTCTGTGTCCCCAAGATTATTGCATTATTGCCGCCTGATGGGCACTCTTGCACCATAGCACAACAAAAACAGGACAAACACCCCCAAACACCACAACATGATGTAGTACAAAAAGTTACAAAATTTCAGCAGGACATTACAGTACATGATGCACTGAATAAAGCAGTATGCCCCCCCCCCAAAACACTTGCAGGTGCAAACAGTATTGCAATAATAAGCACAAATAATCATGAATGCACAATAAAAAGAACATTGGAAGGGTCCCACAGGCTGCAGCAAGAGCTTTTCAAGGCTTAGAGCTGTTGAAATAGGGCTGTCCCTCTATGTCTAGGTTATTATATTCCCCTCAATGGGCTCCTTGCTGCTGCAGAAGCCTTTCAGTGCTGAGAGAGATAGTGCAGCATCCTCTTTTGGGGGGCAATGTCAGTTCCTCACCAGGCCTCTGCTGCAGAAGCTCTTCCTTACAACAATAGCTGATCATTTCTGCTTGTCACGAACAACTATGCTAGGATCTTTGATGCCATTGCTGGGATATTGTACTCATGGCATGTGCTGTCAGCAGCAAGTGACAGTCTCTCATTAATGCCATTATGATCTATTCTCATCAGAGAAAACAAATCAAAATAGAGGGACATCACTGATGTAGAAAAGGAACTATGATCCTGGGGGTGAAGAGATTATGACAACACTTCTTTTTTGTGTGGAAAAAAAAGCAATTGCAGAGGTAAAAATAATTTAATGGAACTACTGCATTCTCTCGACAAAGGACTTGTGTGCATTTAAAAAAAAGCAAGTTTAGTACTTGGATTTCAGTACAAGCTCAGTACTTGGATTATGAAGTACAAATGTCTGACTTGTTCCTGCCTTTCCAGGATTGGGTTTTGAGAATTCACCCCTCCACTATGGTTGTGTTGAATTGTAATGTAATGTATCCTTCTGAATACACTAGCCTTTTGTTGAACAGTATGATCAAGCTAGTTGTTGTGCAGAAAAGAAAAAGAAAAAAGCCCTAGTGAAACAATTTGTACTGTGATGGCAAATCAAAGAGAGTTTGTTGGTGACAAGACATTCCAGTATTGCTGAATCCTTATTGGTGAATGAGAACAGCAGCATTTACTTTGTGACAATTCTTGAATGTTTTAGCTTCCGGATGAAACATGGAGAGATAGATTTGATTCAAAGACATTGATTGCAGCTAATTATTTAGTCAATATTACCAGCAAAATGTTTTATGAAACAGATCCTAAGGCTGATTCTTGGAAATTATATGTCTCTAATGTCAATGTTGATTTATAGCACTGCATTTTTGTCTTGTTACTTTTTACTGTTTCTTCACACGTCTTACATTAATGAAGCCCTTCATTTATAGGGTAAGTAGCTATCCCTCGCTGTTATTGTATCAGATCTATTACTGTATAAAATTTAAAAAAACCTCGCTAAAATTAAAACCACACTTTCAGTCCTTTTATCTGGAAAAGCAAATCATTTTCTTGAAAAAGAATATGAAATTAGCTAGTGTAATCAACTTCAAATGAAACCATGGTCATTGAATCGTAGGATTGTAGAGTTAGAAGGGACCCTGAGGATAATTTAGTCCAACCCACTGCAATACAGGATATCCAGCTGTCCTGAACCTGCAACCTTGGTGTTATCAGCACCACACTCTAACCAACTAAGCTATCCAGGTATGGTGATCTGAGCTGTGATTCCTGCCTTGTCTTTAGTTGGGGACCTTAAACACCACTGAAATAAAACTTATAGCCTTGGGCTGCGGAATCCCATGGAGGTGGTGCTTCTGGTGAGATCTCGCCTCCCCCTTCTCACTTCTCCTGTGGTGAAGGTGGGGACGCCCTCCCCTTCCTCTGCTGCTGCCACCACCAATAGAGTAGCAAGGAGAAGAGGCTGTGGCTTCTGGGTTCCAGCAAGATCATGGAGACATCTCACAAGATCTCACCGGAACCTGGAAGCCACAGCCATGTGACCTCCAGTAAGAGGCCCCTTCTCATTTTGTCTCAGGAGGCCAAATGGGATGAGTCACCTCTGCTAACAGGTATCTTACCTACCGTAAGTCAATTATCCATGTTTTTTCTATATTGGTGCACAATTAGCTGTTCTTGTCATCAGATACTACTCCAAAGGACCTTCTCAGTAGTGGCGCCCACCCTGTGGAATGCCCTCCCATCAGATGTTAATGAGATGAGTAATCATATAATATTTAGGAAAGATCTGAAGGCAGCCCTGTATAGGGAAACTTTTTAAGATTTAAGGTTTCATTATGTTTTTATATATGCTGGAAGCCACCCAAAGTGGCTGGGGAACCAGTCAGGTGGGTGGGGTACAAATAAATTATTATTATTATTATTATTAATGATAATCTTTGCTTTTAGAACTGCTGTTTTCATAGTTCTTTTAATATTCTCAAGAGATCTGTCCCATAATTTATTTTAAGAGATTTTACATGTACCTCAGTCTCTAATGTACTTTGCTTTCATTACTTTACATCAGTTTTTTGTCAGACGTTCTTTGTTCTTGGCATTGTTTGGTATTCTTCATTAACAACTCAGACAAAATTTTCATTTAGTGTATTTATAAACAAAGCATATGATGTGTTAGAGCTAGTATGCATGGCTCTTGAATCTGGCCTGCTTCCGGATGCTCCATGGAAGGGCACTCACTGCATCTTATTTCCATATTGCCACTGGACAGTTGTTGTTTAACACTGGGTGGTCATCTGAATGATGCGGTGAGCCACCACTTCCTTCAAGGCAGATGGTACTTCCTGCTCCTCCAGTGAGACATTAATAATTCCCTGGACCCACCTTTTCAGCCCCCTATGGTTATCTCTAAGAAGCCAAGGTGAGCAAGGGTCAAGGGTTCAGGTGGTGTGATATAGAGGGTGTCAGTGTATTGAACCAAGGGGCAGACTAAGATCTGTTTGAAATGTGACAAAAGAAAAGGAATAGGAGGCTTCTCATCTGAAATCAATGGCATGTGTTAACTCTGACAAGGAGGTGTGCAAGATGGGCCACAGCAGGTGCTTCTGCACTTCCTCGTTAGGTAAGATTAATTTCAGACAAGACAGGAAAATGGGAAGAACTGAAAGCACAAATCAATTTCAAACCTTGTTTCCCTTCCTCCTCAACTTTCCATCTAATCCAAAATGGTCCTACAATGCCAGTGGCAGCCCAGGCAGAAGGTGGAAACGAACTTCCTTTCATCGGTAAAAAAAATGGTGGCAGCAGTGTTACCCATCACCTGACTGGACATGCACCTAGCATCCTTCATGATTGAAATGATTTAATTTTTTACAATTTTTTTCTGTCTCCTAATGAACCTTTGAGGCTAAAGTTGATCCGGGGCCTCTGCTAAACAGAATCCACTGTTTTAAACTGATCTGTGTTACGTCTGAAATTGATCACCTGTTCTGCATCCTTTATATACTGCATTCCATATATGCTGATGTAGGTCTGGTGGGTCAGTTTGCCTGGTGCTCTGAGTCCCTTCCAATCCTTGAGATCCTCTACCTAGTACAGGTTAGAAGCAGATTGCTAACTAGACAATTGTAAGATAATGGCATTGGCTTGCCATTTAAGTATAGTCGTACCTCGGAAGTCGAACGGAATCCGTTCCAGAAGTCTGACAAAATGTTAGGAAACCAAAGCACAGCTTCTGATTGGCTGCAGGAGGCTCCTGCAGCCAATTGGAAGCCATGGAACTCACGTCGTACGTTCGGGTTCCAAAGAACATTCGCAAACCGGAACAATCACTTCCGAGGTTGCAGCGTTCGGGAGCCAAAACGTTTGACTCACAAGGCATTCAACTTCTGAGGTACGACTGTACCTTCATTAGTATAACCAAAGAAGTTGTTCCATGCCCAGAGGGCAAACTACTTCCTCACCTGGCTGGTAGTTGGAAGGAAAATGGCCAGGGCAGTTGTGTGTGAGCTGAGCTGAAAGCAGGAGGCAGGCTGAGAAGCTGAGAGACAGAGGCATGCTTGGTTTGTGCTGAATCCAAAGCTGTGACTAATGGAGAAGCAAGATCTGTTGGTGTTGAATGCTGTGAGCCCCTCCACCTTAGGCTCAGTGTGTATATATGTGTAAACAAACCTTATATCCTAAGGACAACACAGTCTCTGTTGACCTTCGTTCCAGGAAAAGCAAACCCTGGGTGAGCACCAGGAACCCCTGGAATCTCTGGCTGCTTGGAGATTGGGGTGGCATGTAATACAACATTCAGAGAAACTTCAAGGAGGAGGGTGAACTTTGTGATAAAGCAAGGAAATGCAGTTTAAAGGGTACATTTTATTGGGGGGGGAATTCATTTTGGCTCCATGTAGTGTGTGGCTGATGAACATGGCAGACCTGCTTAAACACTCATTGTAGACTGGGGGATGCAGGTCTCCAGGGAACATCAGTCAGAGCAAATAATGAGAAAAGCAGATATGCCATATCTCTTACCTATGATGTAATGCATACCAGCCTGATGAATGCCTCATATATGAATTCCAACTCAAGTTCTTCTTAAACTGTTATTCTTCTTCTCTGTTTTTCTGGAAGAATCCTCCTCCTGTAAGAAATAGGACCACTTGTTCCCAGTTGTTGCTAATTCTGCTTCCATTTGACTGGCATATAATAGTGAAAGGTGAAAAGAGGTTCTAAAACTTTCCCCTCCTAATTGGATTACTAACGACTTCGCATATGGCAAAGCTCCTACAAAGAAGTCACTTACACATAGGAAGTTGCATGAAACCCATATGCAGATTGTCACACAGGATGATCGTGTGTGTGTGTGTGTGTGTGTGTGTGTGTGTGTGTGTTTGCTTTTTAAAACTGCTAGAGACATAACAGATGCATACATTTCTGTATGCACAAGTCTTTGCTCATGTAAGAACATGTGGATTTTGGACTTTAAGAATGGGTGCGCAAAGTGTCTTTTTCCATGGAACAGCAAACAGATCCCCAGATCACTTACCCGTGTGTATCAGGGCACCAAACCACTTCACTCAAAGACATTGTAATACAATGAATAAACAGCTGAGTTAACGCTTTTGACACTTCGATTCAAAACTACCTCTGCCATGAACATATTGAGCCCAAGGCAGTAACAGTGACTTATTACCATACAGGGCTGGTGTGAAATGAAATATTCCAATTTTATTTTTTCAAATGAAGCGTCCAAAAACATAACGGGGCGTTTATGCTAAGCAAGGACACACAACACCCTTGGCATTTGACTTAATGCACAGGAAGTGGAGATTTTGCACATCTTATAGCTAACAAGTCTAACTTTGAAGTGTAAAATATAGTGGAGGGAATGTTTTTTGTTTCTCTTTCAAAACTATATATATTCTGTTATAGTGGAGGGAGTGCTGTGGCAGGCATAAGTTTCTCCAGTTGCTGTGGTGCAAGGGCGATGCAGGGGACAGGAGAAGAGGGACGTCTTGCAGATGATGGTCCACATTCATGGGCGTAGCCAAGATTTTTTTAGAGGGGCAGGCAGCAGCAGAGCATATGCCTGCGCTGCCCAGTGTGGGCACGCTCCTGAAGGGGGCGTGGCATGCTCCCATGGGGTGTGTGGCATGGAGGGTGCCCTCCCAGGCGTGGGATAGCCACTCAGGTGCCCGGAGCAGCATGCGTGTCCTGCAGCTGGGGGCTGAGCAAGCCACCCACGGGGGTGCAGTGAGCCACCCATGGCGGACATTCAGCGCGCCACACGCCCGCGACTCCCAAGCCTCCTCCAAGCTGTCAAAATGAAGGGGGAAGGGGGGAATGCCGCTGGCAAAGCAACACAGCTCCCCCCCTTACCCCGAAGGCTCAGGGTAAGCTTGGGAGTTACAGGCGGGCAGTGTGCCAAATGTCACCCCCCTCAGTGAGGGCACCCGGGGCAGTATGCCCCCCTTCCTACACCCCTGGAGGCAGACCTTTTGTTGGGGGGGGGACAGAACCTCAGTTAGCTATGCATTTTTATTGATTTTTATTGATTTAGGGGTGGCAGCTGTCCCTCCCTGCCCCCCCCAGCTGCACCCATGTCCACATTTGCAGGCACATCTCTGATGTTTGGACATTCTTAACCAGAATCTGAGACTTTCAACATTTACATCTGTGGACATTCACCAAATTCCAGACATTCACTGTAATGCAGCACATACCAGGACCCTGACAACAGTATGAACAAATCATTAACACTAACGTAGATCCCGTCAGAGTGAAAATATTATCTCCAATGTTGTTTGAATTAAATGTGCATTAAATGTGAGCTGCGTATTCGTCTTGATTAACGTTTCATTCATCTTGCCAGGATTTTGTCCTCCACCTGAGCAGCAGTTAACACCCCTCCTCACCCGCCCCCCAAAAGTCCGTGGAAATCTTTCCAAGTCCAGAATCCATTTAATATGAAAAGAGTCATTTTTAAGTCGCACAAAAGAGCCAGTTATGAAGTAGCTGCCTATGTCCAGATGCTTCCTTCCAGGCAAGAATGGATGGAGACGTTTGCTGGGGTGACCGTCTGATCACTATAGCATCCTCCTGGAAAAGGCAGCTAAATAACTGGGAAGAAAAGGCTTAGCACAAGCTTCTGCAAACAGCAATTTAATTGCAGAAGGCATTAAGGAAAATTCAGCAGAGAACGGCGAAAAGAGCACTAATATTTTCACATAAGCTGGCTGCTTAAAGAGCACCATAAAACGGC